TACTAGATTTTCAGTATCTTTCATGACGTATATCTTAAGTTTTTTTTTTTGTTTTCCCGTGAAATTTAACATTCACGATTATTTCTCCTTCGAATTTTATTCGCTTCCCTGTAACCGACTTGGCAACTTTTTGTGTATGTAACATGGTTGGTCTGTTAAGTTTTCTCCATGTCTGTAGGTTGATTATCATGAGATCGGAACCCGAATCCAGTTGCAATTTTATCTTTTTATTTAAAATTTCAAGTTCTACATATTTCCTTATGTTGGTATTGTCTTCGTTATTCATCCTTGTAGCTCTTATTCTACTAGTATCTTTTCTGTTCCTACATTGGCTTGCCTTGTGGCCCATTTTTCCACACTGAAGACAGTTTTTATATTTAAAACGGCAATCCTTGTTCCAATGTAGTCCTCCACATCGATAACATGCTGATGGGGGGTGGGGGCTTATATATGCTTCGATTTTCGTCATAGTTTGCCCTGTATGTTGTACTTCTTCTCTTATTATAGAATTTTTTTTTCTTTCCAGGGAGGATGAGAATCTTTTTTCATTATTATAGAATTTTTGTTTTCTTTCCGGGGAGGGTGAAGAACGTAGACTTTAGTTTAACTTACGTATATGAGATACAGCTCACTCCTCAATGTCCTTCGAGTCTTTCTTTATACTTAGACATTTCTGGCAATCTTCCGATAATTGTTGTAGTGTTAGTCCAGGTTCATTTTGTAATTTTGAAAGCATTCCTTTGCGCATTTCACTATCTTTTGTTGAAACTAACCCTTGAACAAAGATGAGACACTTGAATTTGTCCGGGGTTAATTCCGCTAATTTGAAGTCGTTGTGATGTTTATTTACGATTGCGGCAAACGTGGAATAATCCTCATTATCGCCCTTTACCAGGTTAAGGCATTTCCACCTCCTGTGGAAGAGTGATGTTTTTGGACTAAAGAGTTCTTTAAGACATATAACTGCTTCGTCAAATGTTAATTCTTTCGTCTTTTTTGGCAAGATATAATCCACGAACTTTGTATATTTTTCAATTCCTAATTTTGTAAGCGATAGACGTAGCTTTTTGCTTCTTTCCAGTTTTGACAGTCGATGTTAAAGATGTCTTCATGTCTTCTGAAGTAATCTCCGACATTTTTATCCTCATCTAGGGAATATTTGAAAATCTCTGCGTCTTGCGAAAAAGTTGCCTTTTTTTCAATATCTAATTGCTTGTTACCCGCTACTTTCAATATTAGTTCCTGGAGCTCTTTTTGTCTTCTGCGTTTGTAGTGATTGCTTTTGCCATTTTTCTTCCATTCTTTCTTGTAGTTGTAATTGTTGATCATTTTGGTATTTTACCAGCTCTATCAAAATATTTTTAAAATCTTCCATGATAACACAATTTTACGTATTTTTAATCCTAGTAACTCTTTGTCGCCAATTTGTTGTGGACGACGAGGGAAAATGTTTTTGTTGTTTGTTCTTCCTGTGTGAGTTCAAATCGCTCGTCGTCAATTTGTTGTGGACGAGGGAGGATTTTTCTATTTCTTCTTCGCGTGTGAGTTCGAATCGCTCGTTGCCAACTTGTTGTGGATTCCGGGATGAAATCCGGTCTCAAATGAATGACAAACGCAGGAATGAAATATAACAAATAAATGTATTGACGTAATAATACAATTGGTAATACGGTTAGTAGATCCAGAAATGCGGTTAGTAGCAATAATAATATATATACAGTTTGGAAATTTCAGTATCGACGTAGGACTTCCTTCTGAGTCTACGTGCTCGCAACTGTGATTCCTACAAAGCGGTTACCTCGCAATCTTACTCTCTCACTCTCTCACTCCCGATTATTCACCGGTAGCAGTACAAGTACACACTGGGCGTGTCCACTTGTATAAAAAAAGGCGTGGACCCCTTAACAGTACATAAATGCTGTGATTCAATATAGTTCAATGCGGCTATTCTATAGCAACCTTTCCTCATAAGCAAATTTACGGACTTCAGCACAACGCACATCATTCTAAATAACGTACATTGAGTTGAATAAAGCAATGTCAATTTGTAATTGACATAAATCTTTCGTTGTTGTTACTATTACTACAATGTTCATATTCTTATTTCTTCACTAGTTTAATTAGTGTTACGAAGTACATTCAACTTCTTCCCTTTAGCCTTTTACTACATATCCAAGGGATCATCTTTGACACACACTACAAAACAGCCTGACCTCCAGAAACTAGAACTAAGCCCTTTGTCATGTGTTTGGTAATATTCTGTTAAGTCTGAGTATCTCAAGATCAATATTTATACTTTAATATGTTTCAATATGGAAATGTGAATACGATAAAAATGCTGACCAAAAGCGTTTTTCTTCTTGATTCCTTTCGTGTATTGGTTTTAAGCATTCCTTTTCCGCAAGTGACACTTCATTATTGATTGTTGGTGAAAGGTAAGGATACTGAGATATGGAAGTCCTACCTAACAATATTCAAGTTGCAATGGGAGTATGAATCGAACAATTGGAAATAAAGATACATACACATAGACCAAAAGAGGGCCACGTAATCTTTTTTTTTTTTTTTGTTATAGCATCCATTCGTTTAAACTTGCATACCTTACTCACTTTTCCACCTTGCTTCTCTTGCTCAGTATATTCTTTGAGTGTCATATCACCGAAACATTCTTTCTTCATTATATGTCCGAAAATTCTCACCTGTCTCTCTCTGATTGTTAGCAGTGGTATCTCCTAGTTTCTGTTCGCCTTAAAACTTCCTTCTTTCTCATATGTTCTGTATATGGCACTCTCCGAATTTGTCGGTAGAACCACCTCGCTGTCATTTTTAGAGACTTTTTCCTTTCTGAAAAAATGAGCCATCATTCATTGCCATATAGGAAATTAGATATTGCATAATAGTTCAACACTCTTTTCTTTATTTCTTAGGCCGTTTTCCTCTCTTACTATTTCGCTTAATTTCTGGAAGGTATATTTCACTATTCCTATGGAGTTTAGGATTTCTGTATCACATCTTCAATACCCCATATAATTCAATATCTGTACTTGCTTGATTTTGACATCCCCAATATGTAGCTCACACCTTGTGATGTCTCTTATTGGCTCCCATACAATCTGTCTTCCTACTGTTAATGATTAGTGATTTCTTTTTGCTTTTCTTTGCTATCTTGTCTAAGAGTTATTCACATGTAATGATAATAAATCAATACAAACCTCTGATCCAATAATTATGCACACCACGTATCTTTCAAGTATTAGAACTCTTTGAAACTTAAATATATCGTTGATAAATATCTTTAAATAGATTTATAGCCTCATGCTTAAGGCTTCATGAAAATTAAGCAAAACAAAGGGCGCGCGACCTACGTGTTAGAACGTCTGCGCTTTGAACATCAGACTAAGGTTCGAATCTTAAAATGGTCGATTTGTCAAGGAGGTGACCTTGATAATATCTCAATGTGCAGCGCCGTTGGTGGAGTGTCTGAAAACCATACCACAAATTGATCTAAGCCTTGTAAGTAAAATTGAGTATATGAAACAGTTGGTAAACGTCGGTGGTTGTGCTAATTCGAGTTCACGAGTCATTATTTCCGAGCTTTTGAGAGTACTGACAAGGTACATTGGAATAGCCAAAGTTTAATTCCAAAAACTAAGTAAAGAAACAGAAAATCTTCGTTAGACACAAAGAAAAAGAATACTGAACTCTTAAGCGATTTCTTTGCTCCTATATGGCAGTGAATGCTGGATAATCTCCTCAAAGATAAAGAAGAAACTTGAAGCAACAGAAATAAGGTTCTACAGAAGGATGCTGAGGATACCATGGACCGAATATGGGATGAATGATAGATATGAATATGTAAATAGATTCTGGCGAGAAAGATTTTTTAGCGCGACACAGTGAACCAACTTTCCTAGCTGCAGATTAATCAGTTGATTCAATATAATCTATCCATTTTATGTCAGGGGAGATTAGAATAATCCAGAACTTATATTGGAAGCAAACCGCTTGCATTCGGATAGAAAATGAATTCAGTAAATACACAAAAATAGAAATGGACGTAAGACAAGGATGTGTCCCCCCCCCCTCATTGGACATTTATCCTATACAGTGAAGCGAGTCTGTGAAAATTAGAAGTATTCATTATTGGCACCCACAATGACATAGTGTTGATAACAGACACAGAAAGGAAAACTACAAGAATTCTTACAGAATGTAATGAAGGAAATCTAGAAGAAAGGACTAAATATCAATTGCAAGAATACTGAATGTGTAGTTAACAGCAAAAATAAATTTCCAAAGCAAATTGCAAATTAGAGATACCAAAATCCCACAAGTAGAATTTAAATATCCGGGAAGTGTTTAAACAAACGACAAGAAGTGCAACACTGAAATCCGAAGGTCCGCAGCTAAGTATGAAGAAACAGGAAAATGTTTGTTAGAAACAAAAAAAAAAAATTTATGTAATAGCGCTCCTCCTATATGGTAGTGAATGCTGGACAATCTCATCATGGATGAAGAAAATATTTGAAGCAACAGAAATGTGGTTCTACAGAAGGATTCTGAGAATACCACGGACTAAACATTTGAGAAACAACGAAGTTTTGGTGAAAATCGAAACAAAAAAGGACGCTTATACTTAAGATCAGAAAGAGACAGTTGAAATTTTTAGGGCTCATAATGAGGAAAAGATGCCTTGAAAATTTTGACACACACAAGGTATATATATATACATAAATTTTGTAAGAATCTTTTTTGGAGATAAACAAATTTTACAGTCTAAACTGTTTCTGTATTTAAATATCCTGCAAATTTTAGTGATACAAGTTTAGTGATCCAAATCTAATTAATTAAAACATAACTGAATGGAGTAGAGGTGGATTCATAACTTTCGCAAGGATATTTGCGTGTAAGTGAATAGAACGAAACCAACGGGAATTGGAACTCTGCTCTCCATTAAACAATTCCAAGCTATTATCTATTACACCACCCGCACATCCAAGCTTACAGCACCTGGAATTCCAAAGCGGTCACTCATCTAGGTACTAACTAGGCACAACATTGCTTAACTTTGGGGATCGTACGGGAGCCGGTGTTACAATGTGATGTGGCCATAAATCTTAAGAACAGGAAATTACCATAATTGCCATCGTTCTGAAGGATATTACACAAAAGAATATATATATATATATATATATATATATATATATATATGTGTGTGTGTGTGTGTGTGTGTGTGTGTGTGTGTGTGTGTGTATAAAGATTTCTTTTAATGCTAGATCGATTCAAATAAACCCATGAACGACCAATTCATCCCACCTGTAAGAATTTCTTTTTGTACATTTTTGTATAAAGTTGATCAGTAATCTGTCTCTTTTCATCTGGATCGAAAGTTTATTTTCTAAGAATTATTGTAAGTTAAAAAGTTCATCAATAGGTGTTCCAATATTGTGACAAACTAATTCAGGTTTAATAATTATATTCAGTACATCCCTAGTTAGGGTCATTGTGCGATGTTCCTTCAGGACGTAAACGATCATAGTTCTCCACTGCTTCCTTTTCATTACTATCTAGGAATTACTACTTCTTCCGTGGCATAATGGCTACGGGTCCATGTTATCTTCATGACGGTTTTGAATTTAGAATAATCTTTCTGACTCTTACCCTGTCTACCCGGCTAATTAATTCATCGCTAAAATGAAAATGCGCTAGCACGTAAGTGAATGGATTCAACTAGAATTCGAACTCGGCTCTCTGATTCCTCAATCGGAGCCGCTATCCATTACTCCACCATCCTTCCCCTCTAGGCGAATTACTTCTTTATGCATTTTTATATGAAACTAGTTCATTTTCTTTTACATTCCATGACCCGTCAGGGATGCGATTTATCATGGCTCGTCACAACTTTTTATCTTTTTTAACTCTAATCAATGTACGTTTACTTACCATTCATCTCAGTCCCTGATCCATTTATACAATCTCGTTAAGTAGGTTACTCGATGTTTCTCTTTTTTCCTCTTGTCTACAATGTGTCCTGTGAGTGTCAAATTCTCCAACCCCACTTTCCTCATTATATATCCTAGAAATTTCAATTATATCTCTCTAAATTCTAAATAAACCTTTTTTTTCTGATTTTAGTTACAAGTGTCCATTTTGTTTCCATTTTCCGTAAAACTTCTTTGTTGGCAACAAGTTACATCCGTCATAGATTAGCACCCTTCTTTAGAACTACATGTTTATTGCCTCAAGTTTTTACTTCATCTGTAAGAAGATATTCCAGAATTTATTGTCATATAGGAAAATTGGTATTACATAAAAGTTCACCACTCATTTCTAACAAAACTTTTATGCTTCTTAAGGTAATCTCTCGCTATTCCAGTGTTTCTTCGGATTTCGCTGACACATTTTAAGGCGTTCGATATAAAGATTCTCAGATATTTAAATTAATGTAGTTGCGTGATTCTGACGTCTCCAATTCGTAATTTTTTTCTTGGGCTGTCCCTTTTGCTAACGACCATACTATCTTATCTTCTTAGAATTTCTTGTAGTTGTTTCTTCTTGCTTTCCTTTACTTTTGTCTAAGTTTTCATGCAATTTTCTTTCTGTTTTTGCCAGCAGCATAGTGATAAGGGTTAGTGAAAAGAATCATGAGGAATATGATGCGAAAGAGAATTGTCTCTGATTACAAGTTGATACTTTCTTTAATTTTAATGATACTGTGGCAATAAATCCTTGTTTATTTATCGTTTCTTTTTTCGGCTTTATTGATTGTTGCTGGGATATTTATGTCAACTCTGTGTCAGTTCCTTTCAGACATTTGACCACCGAAAAATCCGACGAACAAACGACGAGTTACACCAAATCAGAGGTTGCAAAAGAACCAATCAAACAGCCGTCAACTGGTTCGGGTCAATTGCTGTCTCATCGCAAGAAAAGCATCGGTACAACAGAAATAATCCTTAGACACAATCTCCCCGACTCTATACGCAAAAAGGTCAAGAATTTGTTACGCAATCAGATAAATAACATAAAAGTGGCTGAGAAGAGATCGGTTAAACTTCATTGCAATACCCATCTCATTCATTCGATACGGGCCAAGTACCCGAAGGCTCTATTCGTTTGGTCCCACAATGGGAGGTGGTTGCAGCCAAATAGTGGCAAGTACGTGCTTATCAATGGCGATCTTTTGATAAATAATATCAATCAGACGATCGACCAAGGCGTTTACGTGTGTCAACTTTTTTCACGTAAAAGTTGGAAAATAACAACAGCTATTTACGCCTTAGCCGTCTTACCAAGTGCTACCGTCTATCGAGTCCTTGCCGGTTCGAACTTAGAAGTGTTCTGTAATAGCCAAACCCTTGGACAAATGTACAACGGTGCGACAAGGACCTGGTCGATCAATGGCACGGTACTGGAAAATTTGACGGGTATCGACGCACGATTAGATTCCAGCGATCGAGTGGTTAATATCCAACAAAACCAGTCAGGTCTCTGGACATGTTCTGTAATCAGGGCTGACAACCCCAACAAGTATTGGCAGACGAATCAAATCTTAGTTGAAGTTTGTCCAGCGCCGGCTTGGTGGCGCTCCATAATGTACCAAATCCCACTTCCGATTGTAGCGGAATCATTCGGCTTGACTTTGTTCCTATTTTCTCTGTTTCTCTGCGCCATTGCAACAATGAAGAGAATTAAGCAGGATTCGCGCGCATACTTGAACACTTAAACAAAATTGTCCTTTCGTTTCGATAAACATCTTTCCAACGAAAATATCTCGAATGGACGGAAAAAATAAGGAGGAAAATTTCAAAAGCTAATAAATCAAAGCAATAAATACCGCGTTTATTTAATCTTATTTAGGAATATATATTTAATGAGCATTGTAAGGTGGTGCCTTAAAAATGATCACCTATCTAGGCGCCGATTTTACTAAGCTTAGTTAAGTATGACAAAAGGCTGAAAATGTAGAGCACCCAACTACATTTAGTGCTGACTTTACTAAGCTAAACATAGTATGACACAAGGCTGCAAATGTGGAGCACCCATCTACGCGCCAACTTTACTTGGCTTAGTATGACAAAAGCCGCAGAAATGCAGCACCCGACTTTACTTAGCTTAGCATAGTATGACAGAAGGCAGTAAATGTGGAGCACCCAGCTAGGTACCAACTAAGTTAAGCATAGTATGACACAAGGATGTAAATGCGGAGTATCTATCTATATCTAGGCGCCGGCTTTACTAAGCTTAGCTCAGCATGACAAAAGGCCGCAAATATGGAGTACCCATCTAGGCGCCTTCTTTACTAAGCTTAGTTCAGTACGACACAAGAAAATATGCAGTATTCAGTATGCTTCTTATGTCTTGTACGGCACAGATCATCCTACTAAAACCTTATCAGTTTTATAAAGAAATTTAACATTATTAACTTTTTGAGAAAATACATTTTCCAAAGTTTGGTTATGAATATGATTACAGAACTCCCCGATCAAATTTAAATTTGAATTTACCTAATTTCAAGTAATATATTTATGAGAAAGGTTTGCTCTATGGAGGGTATTATTGGTCTATATCTCTGAGATGAGGTATTATGATTACTTGTATTATTTACATTACATTCTTCAGGTGATTTGAATTTCGAACCAAACCCTTTATTCCATCCACCGGGGTAGATAGTTCTAGTTCCATCTTCCGGATGTCTCAGTTATTTCCCTTCAACTCAAATCTCCAAGTTTTTGGTTGATCACTCCTATGGCCTGGTATTGAACTCACAACTCTTTGGGTTTAGTCACTGGATCTAACAAGTGTATGAATTTCTGGGACTTATAAACCTAATGTCTCAACATCCATTTCTTTACCAGTGCTCATATTGCAATTTTTTGTTATTAATATTGTATTTTTTAACAGAGCTTATATTGCATTTTTTTTTTTGTTCATTGCTTTTATCTAGTACTCCTTATTACTGGGTCCCATATTGTATTCATTTCTATGCTTGGTCGGCTCAAGAGATTTTTGTGGCCGAGCATATGTGTTGATCCCTTAAGTTTTCGTATTTTCCCGTGATGCTCTCTGTCTATTATTTCAACCTCATCCGACACAAGCGGTGATCTCCCGTTTCCCCCCATATGTGGTCAGCTAATAAACGAAATAAAGGGTTCGGTTCGTAATTCCAATCACCTGAAGAAGGCCAGAGCGTACAACGTTCGAAACGTTGTGAATATAGCAATGAAGATGGGGATAACAGTTCGAATAATGTAAATAATACAAGTAAGGGTATTATTTGATTTCATGCAAATTTAAAATCATTTTAATTTGACAGGAAACTCTGTGTTTCAGTGTAACGGAATATTAAAATTCTAGTTAAAGGCGTTTAATATTTTGTGAATAATATGCATGGGTTTGGGACTTAGAACAGTTTCTGAGTTTCTCTTTGAAGTTTTGCGATGTTGAACATGATTCATATTATTTACATTCGAACTAATGTCTTCATCTCTGTTGTTATTTATTACAACGTTTAGATCGTTGTGCACTCCGGCCTTCTTTAGGTGTCTCTCAATCTAGATAAAATCATAGATGAGGGCATTTCTCTGAATGTAAATAATGTAAATAACATGGATGTTTTCGAAGTTTCGGCCTGCTAATCACTGATCTTCATCAGGAGGAAGTTTCCCTTGATGGAGAATGACCCCTTAGTCGTAGATAAATCAATAGAATGGACAATTTCAATCAATTCATAATTAGTTGAGAAGATACGGTTCCTTTCTGCCGAAGATTATTTCTTACTTCTTCAAGAAAATTCATCAAATATGATTTCTCAACATGAGAATATAGCCTTTTTCCAAAAAAAAAAAGAAAAGAAACAATATGACAGTTAAATAAAAACTTGATAAATTACATTGCACAATTCATCACTGATTTTTACCTTTTGATAAAAGTGAAAAGATCTTCTTCCATTTAGTAAAGATTACATATAATAACCGACGTTTGCTCGCAGCAGTTCCTTTACTTACAACCGATATTATTGCTCGTATTATATTTAATACTAGCATCGAAATTCTATTTTTCTATTCAAGTGTTTGACGCATTTTCTTTTTTATAGAGAAAATTGAAAAATG